CAAAGGTGATACGCCAAGACATTTTGGGTGACACGCATCGACTTAAGTCACCTCACAGACGAAACCGAGCAGATCACAAATAATCATCGCACAAACAACAACGAAAAACAACGGTGTCTATCTTCTATCAACGAGGTTTAGAATCGTTAATTCGGAGCTGAACCATAGCGAGTCCGTGATCGTACAAGGTCGTAACGCTCGCAATAATTTGAATATTTCCAGATGTGACAGGGCACCCAAATTAAGAAGCTAGGTTTTGACACACCGAGCTTAAAAGGTTCGCCATCACTGCCTTAGACCCTTAGACGCGGGAGGGACTGGAAGGACTCAGGTCAGAAGTTGTATATATACAAATAGGAGCCTTTATGAGGACTAGCGAGAACCTGTGCTTAGTCCGTCCCTCTGGTGGCAGAGCGTAGAAGGGTCGCTACATACCCTCAAATTTTTTTCTTTCTTATCGTTAGTCTTAGTCTTAGTTTTAGTCTTAGTCTTATCTGTATCCACAACTAGTCACCAACTTTCACCACTACTCACACTGGACTCTTCACCTTCCAACTCTCCTCTAGACTCTCCTACACGGTCATAACCCAAAGTTCATTTTCCTCAAACCCTTAAATAACCCTATTTTTCCATCCTCGAGTCATTCTCTGTATTATCATCTGCACGTCACGTTCCGCCAGTTTTAATCAAATTTCTTTTCTACGCAATGTCGATCTTTAATTGCTTCAATTTAAGTGTTACCCCAATACCTGCCCTCAGTTTCGAGAAACTGAGGCAAAACCGGGCATCACGGTAAAATTAAAATGCATGTTACGAAAATAAAATATTCGATTTCTCAAAAATAGCAAATGTGACAATCGTATCGTGAACTTAGGACTCACGTCCTGTAATAAGATACGATTAGTTGTATATCTAAAATATCTACTCCTCTTGCTAATGCATCTGAAAATGTAATAATAGTATAAAAGAAATTATGAAACTTTGTTGAAAGTTACTTTTTTAATGCAACGTTAAATAAGACATACATTTGCATCTTTCTGGGTGATATAATGACCAAACAGTTTTAGATTAACACTTTTAGTTAGACAAGAGTTCGATGTAGCACATAAAATTCCGATTTCTTTATAATTATTAGCCACTTAATACCACGTTTTAATTTCACGAAGAATATTCGAGTAAATTAAAAAATGATCACACATGCGACTGTTCTACATTTCATAGTTATTTGAAATAATCATATTTGAACTTTTTATGCAAACATTTATACATAGTTTTACTTCTTGTTTTTCAATACATCATTTACGTTTTTACGAACGGCATCACGCAATGATTTGTCGACACAGTTTTTGAACTTTTGTACTTCTGGTTCGCAAGTTAATGTATTTCCAATATTATTCTGCAAACAATCTACCATCTATAAATCATTACATTAAATACATCAATTTATATCATTTGATTTATGTCATAATGTTAAATAGTAGAAGAACACGTTACAATATAATAAATAAAATGAACTTATAATATTGTACGATGTAAAAGTACTTTATGTACAATATTTTATTTTAGTATGTCTTCAGTCACATTCAGTGTGAAAAATAAGCATACATGTTATAAATATAGGAATGTTGGGTTGTGCACAGGCTTATTGAATAAATGAAAAACAGTAACAAATATATATTTAAATAACAATAGACAATGTCTCGGTACACTATATCTCGTAATACTCTAACACTCTAAACTCGAAGCTCTTGCTCTCAACTCTCAACTATAAACTCTAAACTCTAACTCGTTATTATTCTTTTCTTGTATATAGGGTGGTTCATGTAACTTGCACACCTCGAATAACTTCTAAAGTATGCGTTGTATGGAAAACATTTTATGCACAAGAGTTGCATGGTTTGCAGGGGCACATTGTATAGTGTACGTACTTTTTCACAGGTGGAGGCGTTTCAAAGATTTCAAGGTTAGCTTCGTCACTTTAAATGGAATGCTAAATTTCTTATGCCAAAATATTGAAAAATGTTGAATCCTGAATAAAAAAAGTATTGACCTTTATTAGCCCTAAATCTAATAATTAACACACACGTAACAGACATCGCTCGGGTACCGGTAGACCAGAGCCGCTTAACTTCTTGCTCACGAGCAAATTTCCCCTCCCGAGGTTGCCCCACTATGCGGTACGAACACGCAGAATGTGTAACATAAACCAACGGCAGTCGCTGGAGTTGTGGTGGGAGGACTCCTCGCGTCCTCCTCCCACCTCGACGCAATTGGAGCGAGACCATCTCAGTCGCATAGTGGGGGAACCTCGGGAGGGGAAATTTGCTCGTGAGCAAGAAGTTAAGCGGCTCTGCGGTAGACTTTGAGCGAAATAAAGGAAACCGGAGAATGTTCCGTACCCGAGCGCAAAGCACATTTTCAAAAAACGAACGTCCCCTACAAACTTGCCAACTTTCAAAAAAATTTGAATTTTTGGGTTATCGAAATTCTCTTGTTAGTTATTAGTTGTTACTTATTACCAATTAATTACTTATTACTATTATTTAGTAGAAGCACTTAAAAAATGTAGCCTCAGTTGTAAATAAATCCTTACTTTAAGTGCAACGGAAGGACAATGTCGTTGGGATTTCGTATTTATATATGCGTTAATATCGTTTAAAATTTTCTCAGCTTCATTTATATCCAAGCCATTTTTTTTCGAGTGATCCGCATCAACAACAGCTAATTTATCGGCCCAGAAACTTTCATATGAAATTAATCTTTCTTCATTAGGCACACCTTGAATTTCATATTTTTCTTAATTTTACTATTTACGATCTTTAATGGTTAATTAAATTGTACTATTTCTGTAAAATTTAATTATAAAAACTTTGTATTTATAATTATAATCTTCCTTTAATGTTTAAATCTTGTTTATAATGCATATACATTATTTATATGTAAAATACAGTTTCAGATAGAAATAGAAATTTACTACATTTAATTCTTCATAAAAGAATTAGAAAAATTGTACATGAAGCTTCATTTTCGAAAAAATCAACTTTTACAAATTTTTTGTATACGCGTACAACTATCATTTTACTACTAATTATTTTTTATTCACTTTAGTTTATAGATATAGACATTAATGTTAAAAACTATTTTCAAGTAAATTAAAAAATTAGTTATATCATTAAGATATTAAAAAATTATTTATTTAATTCATCAAGCAAAATTAAAAAAGAAGATAAAATGCAACTCTCTATTATTTTTTAATTAAAAATCTCAAGATCGGTAACTACTATAATGTAACTGAATTAATACTTGGTTTTCAAGCATCATTCGATACAAATTGATTTGTACATCTT